AAACTTAACGCAGATGTAAAACTGGGTATTTGTTTCTTCCTGTCGGATGCAAAACTCGGTATTTGCCGTTAGAAATATTCCCTAAGTGTTACACTTTGCTGCTGAAGATGACAACATCGTTGGCGAAAAGTACTTTAGGCACTTTGTGTTTTGTTTTAGTGTTGGGAAATATTTGTAATATTTGTTTACCTTAATTAAGTTTAAGTTTAAACTAATAAATAAATAATATAATATGAGTCTATAAATTACGTAGGTATTAATTTAAGTATACTTATTTATTTAAGTATACTTAAGTAATATTTTGTCTCATTAAAATAAGATTATTCTACTTTGTGGTTTTTGAAACCTGATGCTTTTAATTTATAAGAATTATACGTATTTTACAGTGGCGACTCGTCAGAGGAGGAAAAGGAGGCTTATTTATAATTAAATTTTCAATCATAAAAATTATTACAATAATACTATTAAGTAATATTAACCGCGGCAGCACCCTACCACCAAATATAAGCGACCATCACGACGCGTATAACGCCAAAGAAGCATCGCTAGTGGCGCCACCACGTGGCCGTCATCTTAACAAAAGAGCAGCTTTTAATAAGAAGATGTCAAACGCGTATGTAACAAACTAGTATTTTTGAGAATGAGGCCGGAAAATGTTAAAAATATCGAAAAAACCATGGAACGATTTGTTGTGCTGTTGGGTGTTTTTCGAGAGGAAATCCGGGGTTATATTTTTACCGGTTTTACAATAAACGGTGGAAATTAATATTAAATACACATTTTATTAATGATTAACGTGAACATTGAAAACATTTAAATTCAGTAAAAATTATAAAGAAATAAGACTTAGTAGTCTAAATAAATGCAAACAGCGAAAACTTCATTATGAATTAGTAAAAGCGTTGATTGAAAAATTCTTCAGTCAACGGTAAAAGACTAAAAACCGGTATTATATTATGTATTATATCAGTGGCGGCTGGTGGATTTTGGTAAAACCATATCTCAGTTATTAGACATGGGACCCACATCAAATTTATATGAGTTTATAATGACATTATATAGACAAGTTCTGCGCAAGCAGAATTTAAATTAAAGTTTGCGAAAAAAAGTTAGTTTTTAAGTGCAACCCCCAGCCTCCTGCCCCTCCAAATTAAGATAATTCAAATTAAAGTGGTACAATATTTAATTCACTGAAGTTTATCGACAAATTTCAAATTTTATTAAAAAAATTCAAGAATTACAGGTTTTATACCATTTACTTATAATTTTTTTAAATTTAGTAAAAGAAATAATAAAAATTATAAATGGTATAAAAAACTTCAGTGAATTAAATATTGTACCACTTTAATTTGAATTATCTTAATTTGGAGGGGCAGGAGGCTCGGGGTTGCACTTAAAAACTAACTTTTTTTCGCAAACTTTAATTTAAATTCTGCTTGCGCAGAACTTGTCTATATAATGTCATTATAAACTCATATAAATTTGATGTGGGTCCCATGTCTAATAACTGAGATATGGGTGTGCCCAAAATCCACCAGCCGCCACTGTATTATATATAATATTATGTTGCCATGAATTTGTAGATATATTTTACATTTTACTATTTTAAAAAGCAGTTGTCAGCGTTAGCATTTAGAGGGTTCAAATAAAAAAAATGTTTGATTTTAAGATTATGTTTCAAACATAATGTTTGTATAACTAGTATTTTGTGTAAGATTTCTTAAAAACTTAAATATAAATTATATTAGGTAAAGTTATCATTAGTTAATTCTGCACCAAAAAATATACGTACCAAATTGGATCCTTTGGCAAAACATGAAAATGCGGATAAGTTTTTAAATTACATTTACAATTAAAAACAACAATAATTCACCATCTTCACTTGAATAAGTTGTAACTTAACTACAATATAATAAGCACATAAAGAATAATAAATCGAAAACGACTACTAAACCAAACAAAGTTTTTCAGTTTTTTACTTGCAACGCGAAACACAAACTTCCTCTTCAGTTGTGCTATCGAGCGCCACCAGATCGCGCGCGCGAAAACCCGATGCTTCTTTAACGTATTCAGCGATTGTATACAGTTTTGTGCCACTAGAATAGACATATCCTGGAAACAAATGTGTGTCGTTATATATCATGATATTACTTTTAGAAATCCGAAAGCATCGTTGACTATAGTTAATGATATATTGGCCTAAAATAATATGCCAATATAGGACCAACCTTGGATAAACATTGGCAAGATATATTAAATTATCATTTTATGCCAAAATAGGGCTAACATCGGCTAAATAAATCCAATATTGGCCCCAGATAAAATATTGGGCATAGACGCGTCCCATATAGGACCAATATTTTGTGCTACTGGGGTGGTTATGATGATTAAACCAAAAAAGTTAAAAAAGAAAAATTAGTCAGCCATTCCACGCTATAGCTACAAAAATTCCCGAGTATACTCGGGAATTTTTGTAGCGTCCGTTACAATAAAAAATTGTGAGTAAAACTACCGTAATTATTATGCTTATAAGTTTAAGCCTAATTATTACAAGCATAATAAACATGTTTGCAATATTAACTATTGTAACAGTATTTAATTTAATTACGGTAGCTTTTAATCACAATTTTTTATTTTAACGGACGCTTCAAAAATTCCCGAGTAGCGTGGAATGGCTGTAGTATAGAGGAAATAAATTAAAAAAGCTGCCACTAGAAAATTAATTTTTGTTCCTACTGGTACCTGATTCTTTCCAAAATATTGGGTTATTAAGCACATAATTATAAAGTTTTTTTTCTACTTGTTTACGGAATATGACCGTTCTAACCTCACTTTTTAATGTGGAATTACATATATTCCTTAAAGTGTTACAGAATATACCATTATAAGTTATTAATAAAAATTATGCCAAGGCCGGCACTGTAGATAAATAGTCTGAAAACATTTATATAATAATTTATTATATAAAGAAGTATTTTAAAGCTCGCTGTACAATAGCCCGGTAACGGGAACGGGAATCTGAACAGTAAAGGTGGGAGAGATTAAGAAACCACTGTTGATAGATAGTGTTTGCTGAGTCTCTCCCACCTTTACCGTTTAGGTTCCCATTCCCGTTCTGGTTACCGGGCTGTTGTGCAGCGGGCTTAAAGGCGGCTGTCCAATTACTCGGGAACGCAAACGAGAACGAAAACTTAAACGAAAACGATAAGATTCACAATTAACATAATTATTTCAAATCTTAGGTTAATATATTTTGGGGATATTTAATTTTATTGGTATTTTTAATAGATATATACGTACCATCATACTGCAGATGTTCGGCTATTAAAAGCCAACTATTTTCCTTTAATAATTTATCTTTGTACTCTTTAAACGAGAGATCGTACAGATGTGGGCACTTTTTTCCTAATAAAATAATTAATTCGTCGTTCATTTTCATTAATTTATTAACAGAAAACGTATTGATAAAACAAATAGCGCGAATGTCAGAAATAATTTGACAGATCAAACTCATTTTCTATTGGTTTCGATAATGCTGCGTTCCTATTGGCTACCGGGAACCAACTTTTTCGTTTTCGTTCGCGTTTCTCGTTTTTGTTACCGGAAATTTGTTGTGCATGTGTACCTACATTGACATATGTTTTTTTAATTTTTTTATTGTTACGTTTTTTTATTGTTATTTTCGTTTCCGTTCCCGTGTAATTGTGCAGCCGCCTTAAGACTATTTATCTACAGTACCGGCCTTGGCATGGTGCCTGGGCAAAATTTAGGCCCCTTAATTATAGTTAAATAAACATTTTTAATATTTTTCTATAATTGTTGGTGTTATGCTTTATAATTTGGTATTTCTTATTAATAAAGATAAAATTTAAAAACTAAAATGTTGTATTTTTTATACTTATGGTGTTAGTGCGCTATTTTTAGGTCTATTTACCCGGAAAAAAACTTCAAATATAGGTTTTTTAACGTTTGTATAAAAGCATAAAAAAGTCTCATCGATTTCCAAATCTAACTTTTCCATATAAACAAAAATTTCATATAAAATTTGAATTAAATATTATATATTTCAATTAGTAACGATCAATTACCACATCTTATTTCTTCTTCAAAAAATAAAAAAATACCGATACCGAATTTTGGTCTATGTGAATAAAAATATACATTAAAGTGATTAAGAAAAATTTGGCTAATACTTCTCATAAATACTCGTAGAAAAAATAAGTAAACTTAAGGAAGTAACAAGAATATATTTAGACATGTTTCTGATGTGTCCTGTCCATGGGCTTGGAATGGCCGTATAGTAACATTTATATTTAATTATAATTTTATAAAAATTTATCGGATTTACAAAATTTTCTTCATTTATCTTAATGTATTTGCATTAGCTGGTTGCTGGCGATCGTTTTTTTACGGACGAGAATATTTTTACGGTTAAACGATTTTACAGTCGCCAACTGACAAGGAAAAATTAGAAAAAGACCACTGTAAAAAAAAACTATTACTTTCAGCCATTTTCCAAATTTTGTGATGGTCTGGGCTAAAATCTATGCAACCGGAAAAACTCAATTCTGGAGTAGGAAACACTTCCTTGGTAAAAAATGAAGTTTACCTACATTCAGAAAACGATGGAAATTTATAATAGTGTGTTATACACATAACGTTGTTTTAATGTATGATTCTAAGTGGTAATTCAAACTCGCTTGATTTTAACCCTAACGACTATTGAGTAGGGTCAATCTTAAAGGCAGGTCTGAGACGTACATGGGATGAAATTACGTTGGAGCATTGTCAATTTTCAAAACCGTCTTAGCAAATAAATTAAGGCACCTGATGCACATTTTGAAAAACTGATGTAAATTTGTAATGAATATAAACGTCTTCATTTCATGAAAGTACATTTTTATTTACTAATAAAGCAATTTTATATATGCAGCTAAAATGTAAAAAAAATCCGGGAACTTAAGTTTCAAGTTGAAATTTTAATTATTATATTATTTTAGGTGCTTCAAAGCACAAAGATGAACATAATGAGAAAACTGAGGGGCGGAGGGCCATCGGCCCCCTCCGCGTCCACGTCGGACATATCGGATACGACATCATCGTCATCAACAGCACACAGCCAACTGGGACTGATGCATCTTAAAAAACTCTTCTCGGAGTACACCCATCCCACACACCAGCTAACTGATCAAGAGAGAGACGACAAGCTCTACAACATGTTGCCGCTATTTTGTAAAGTACGAAAGATATTTTTTTCCTATTCCTTTTATTAAGAAATATAATACGTATTTTCCTTTTATTAAGAAATATAATACCTATGTTTTGATAATTTCATAGAAGTTAATGACACACATATCTCGTCATGGTCAACTTTTAATCAAGAGATATACAAAAAAGTTATTATTTTTACATTTGCAAATGTTACGGAAATAGATAAAAACGTTTATCTCTAAAGGCAAATGCTGAAATTCTTATATAATTTTAGTAGATTATAATTATTACAGGGTGTCTCAAAATCACAGGACCAAACGAAAGAGGTCGATTTTTTGCGAAAATTTAAGTCAAAATTTCCTTTACCATTTTTTGGAATTCGCAAAATTGCAGAAGTAATTTAATTCTTTAAGACCGCCAAAGAGGGTGTCCTAAAATTGGTCAAGACAACTTTTTCTTTACCTACTATTTTTTCGAGTTCGCAAAATTGCAGGAGTTATTTAACTTTTAAGGCCGCAGAGTTTTAATTTATATTTTATCTGACATTTAATGTCAAGCAGCTGCCCACCGGTTGAAGTAAAGAAATGAAATTAAATGTACAATTTTTAATAAAGCAAATAAAAATAACACTTAAAAACAATGAAAAGTATGTTAAAAAAACTAAGTAAATGAAATAAATTATTAAATGGGCTTTGAACCTAAACCTTAAAACTGATGTTTCTTAGTAAACATTTTTAATGGGTTTAAAATTGTTTTTAAATAAATTATTAGGACCATTTAATTTTAATAAAAAATACTTTATATTTTCAATTTGGCCACTTTAAATATTAGAAATAGTTATAAAATATCCTCTAAAATCATTATTTAGAATGAATATGATAAATATACAAGGTGTCCCTGTACAAAATAATACCACATATTCCTGAGAACAAAATAATTTATTATAACTAAATTTACCTTTATACAAAAGTTGATAATAATCAAGATACAGGGTTTCAAGTTGAACATTCGTCTTCAAATTTATTAAATAACTTTGGAAAAAAACAACGTTTTGATAAACGGTTTTTTTCAGGACTGAAAAATTAAATTTCTTCAAAAAATAAATGTAGGTTGTAGAGAGGACTCTGCGACATTTTGCATACGTTTAAATGGTCACTTTTTTGCGCCTTAGTGTATTTACGTTTTAGTAAAAATATTACTTTTTTATCTTTAATGAAATAACCGTTTTCGACGTATGCATTTAAATTGTTAAGTGTACCCTTTTTAATGTAATTAATTTGTACTTAAAATAAATATTTAAAAAGGTAAAATTTCGAAAAACAATGACAAAGTTGGGCAGTAACTAAATTTATAGCGTCTCTTAACGTACTTTTTAATCGTAACCTAGTTTTTTTTACATTTTCTAATCACATTTTAAATGCAAATATCCCGATAACGGTTACTAGTAACCGTTATCGGGATATACTCAGACGACATTTAGAAAGTATACCATTATCACGTAATAAAGATAAAAAAGATATATTTTTATTAAAAACGTGAATACTACATTAAGGCACAAAAAAGATGTAACCATTTAAACGTAGGTATGCAAAGTGTTGCGAGAGTCCTCTCTACAACCTATATTGTTTCAGTCCTGAAAAAAAAAACCGTTTATTAAAACGTTGTTTTTTTCCAAAGTTATTTAATAAATTTGAAATCGAATGTTCAACTTGAAACCCAGTATCTTGATTATTATGTGTCGCAGACAGCGCCCTCTAAATTAATTTTTCAAGAAATTTAATTTTCCCGGCCTGAAAGAAACCCCAACAATTTTGTGCAAAAAAGTTATTTAATAAAATCGAAAACGAATTTTCAACTTTGACCCCTGTACCTTGTCCCAGGAAAATAGGCTAAAAGGAAAAAAACAATGAAAATAACAAAATTTATTCCCACTTGTGTTAATTAAGTTAATGTTGAAAATGTCCACCTGTATAAATATTATAAATAAAACATAAATTATTTAAATTCACATTCGTGTCCAATATACTTATTTAACAAATATAGATACTTTTATGGCTCGGATTCAAATAAAAAAAATAGATTGTTAAATTATGTTAAAACTGATTTTAATTGCAACTAAAAAATATTTGTATAAACTTTACAAGCGACCTGTAGTATTTTGTTGTTTACATGAATATAAAAAGTTCATCGCACCTACCATAGGTACCTAGGGCCTATTATAAAGTTTTAATAAGTAAAAGTCTTATTAAGTCTTATTAACTCTTCCAGAAGACTCCCAAATATTGCTATTATTCTGACTTAGTAAAACTTATTCAGACTTTTTCAGACTTAGTAAGTCTTATTCTGACTTTTACTGACTTAATAAGACTTATTCAGAGTTTTTAAGAGGAAGTAAGACTTTCAAAACTCTTACTTTTACTTATTTAAACTTTTTCAGAAAAAAAATTCCACAAGGGTAGGCATATTGGTTTTTTTAAACTAATTGTACAGTAATAAGCATTGACAAGTATTTAATTTCAAATGATAAATCTATGGGTACTTCTAAATAATGAAGAATAGAAATAAATTATACCAAAAATACACCTTTTTAATAAGAAAGTATTAGTTAATTGACAAATATTATGAATTACATTAAGAAAATCAGAAAATGTAATGGGTTAATCCTCGAGGGTAAAGAGCCGGGTAACGGATCCGTTACCTGGCTCTTGTTATGGCTTGTTTAAAATAAACATTTAATTAAAATATAAAACAAAAATATTCAAACATAATTACCTGACCAGGTACATGTGGAAGGTACCCACATGGCCGCCAACACCAATCTTAATTTATTCAAAGATATATTAGAGCTCGAGTCTGTCAGACACAACGCTATTAAGTGCCACAACGCTATTAGAGTTCCACCAATCTAACAATATATGTTTTCTATGAATTAAAACTAGCGGCAGGTAACACGTAGTTGGAACGCCAACATTTTATTTATTGTAGTATTATTTAGCAGTTGTTTACTTTATTTTTTGCAAAACAAGAGACGCCTAAAAAAATTGGGATGAAATTACAAAAAGTGAAACACTTTTAGTAATTTCATCCACAGTCAATTTTTTTATCGTCATCTTGTTTTACAAAAAATAAAGTTAACAACTGATAAAGTATAGAGGTGTAATAAAGTTGAATTTGTTAATCAATTAAAGTTGCAATGTACCAACAATATGTAATGGGCATTGTGCAAACAAACAGCAACGCAAAAATATGCCAATCAATATAAATAAATAGCATGTTGTGGCATAGCGTGCACAAATTGGTGGTAATTGCTAAAACAAGTTCTAATAAATTCTGACAAATTTAAATTCTTTGGTACTGTTAAACTTTATCATACATTTATAGTGGATTTAACCGCTAATGTAATAACCACAAATACTTAAGATAAAGGAACTTAATTAATTAAAAAAAGAATATTTTATTAAGTAGAAAAACAAGGTATAATAAGTATACATTAGGGTGATCCAAAAAATGGGTTGCAGGGCACCTAAAAAAGCTTATCTGCGTATGAGCTGTTACTATTAAGAATAATATCCTCCAATTTTCCATTTTCACATTAGTCCGATAAAAAACATTTTGAATCTCGCTAATAAATGAATATAAAGCCAAGCCCAATATTTATTTTAAAAGGAAATTAAATCTACAAAATATTTTTGTTTTTTCGTAAACCTATCCATTCAAAAGATATATTAGGTCAAAGTTTGAAAAGTTTTGAAAAAAAATTAAGGTACCCAGCAAGTCAAATAAAAGAAATGGTTGATTTTTAGAATCACCCTTGAAAAAGGACAACTGGTGATATGTTAAAAAAATAATTAAAATATTCCCCAAACACAAAGTGCTTTGTTTTGGTGTTGGGGAATATTTATATTATTTCTTATGAAGCTTATAAGCTATAGGTAACTCTAAAGGAAATTAAAAATAAGATTTCGCATTAAAGGACTTTGCAAAAAGTTAATTAAGTTTTTAATTCCTAAGTTTTAGAAACTTCCTTACAGCTCAGACTTAATATTTATCCTTCGATTGATGCAAAAAGCTAATTAATGCACATGTCTAAAACTTAACTATTAGGTACATCATCAAAAAGTTTTTAATATTAAAAAACTAATTGCGCTTTAGACAATATGATAACATTAAATAGGTAGGTAGTAGTTGATAATGAACTTTTGTAAGGTATTAAATTAAATGTAATTTGCCCAGCTTTAAATAATATACATATACTTTTTTAGGTATTTGGTTCTAGTCCAACATGTGATATGAACGAAAAGTTCTGGGACATACTGGCATTCTGTCACCAAGTGTCAATGCTTATGGTGTGCGAAATACGAAAAAGGGCGTCGAATCAAAGCACAGAGGCGGCAAGTTGTGCCATAGCAAAGTTCTTGGAAATTGAAAATTGCGAAGAATCAAGCAACGGTTGGATGTTACTGTCAACGTTAAATTTATTGGCTGCTGGCGATGCCACACTGATTCAAGTTATGGCAGAGGTGGCTGTTCCGTCAACGCTGGTCAAGTGTTTGTATTTGTTTTTCGATTTGCCAGAAATGTCCGAACAGGAGGCCAACTGTAAGGATTCTAATAGCGATTTTACGCCTAGAGAAAGAAGAATCCTGCTACAGAAAATTTTTGTACAAGTATGATTTAATTTGAAAATCATTCAGTTATTATACTTTTCTTCTTGTAGCTCTTGGTAAGGTTGTGCAATCATAGAATTCCCGCTGAAGAACTAGCAAGAAAAGACGATTTAACTTTGCTTTTTTCTGCAATAACATCTTGGTGTCCTGCGCACAACGTAATGTGGCGAAAAAGTGCTGCAGAAGTTTTAATGACATTGTCAAGGCATGGCCTCACGCCACCAGTTGTTGGATATATTCATTGTAATATATTAAATGTCTCCAACATTTATAAACATGACATATTTTGTTGTTTTAGCTAAAACTTGTGTGGCTGTATGTATAGATAATATGAAAAGAGTACCTGAATTAGCCCCTTTAGAACTGGTGGAAATGTTTGTGACAGTATTTTGTTTTCTAAAAGATTCTAGTGAAGTTTCATCTACTTTGCTTGATGATTTTCGTCAAGCACAGGGTTATCCATTTCTTTCCGAATTTTTACTAAAGTAAAGTAAAACACCTTCAATTTCAATAAATTAATTAAACATTTTTAGATTGGAATCCGAAAAGTCTAACGAAGCCCACGAATCCATACGAAATTTAGTATTAATGGTTACCTCTCTTTGCATGTGTGGTTATTTAGAAATGAAACCCTCTCAGGCATCAACTGGATCCTTATTTCAAATGCAGGGATTTGTGCTACCTCAACCTTCAGGCAGGGGAACCAGTGTTAGAAATATACAAGCATTTCATGTAAGTTTAAAAAAATATTATCTCAATTAACTTTATATTATTATATATTTCTAGGTTTTACAAAGCACTTTTCTTAAATCAAACTCGTCTCTCCTATGCTGCACAATCCTCGATGCTATTTCAAGCATTTACCATTCAGACAATGCCAATTATTTTATACTTGAAAGTCACAATACACTAAGCCAATTTACTGAAAAGATCCACCACAAGTCTTCTGAGATTCAACAAAAGTTGTTTGAACTAATCGAATTTCTAGTTTTTCAATTAAACTTCGTTCCTTGCAAGGAACTAATATCCATGTCAATTTTTCTAAAAACCCACAGTCTTAATTACGTTGAATGCAGTATTTTGTGTATGAATAGTTTGATACATATTCTTAAACATAACGTTATGTTTAAAGATGTGTACAGAGAAGTTGGCATGTTGGAAGTTTTTGTTACCTGCTTAAATCGCTACGAAAATTTTTTGGATGAAAAGAAAGTTGCTAATTCCAAAGGACAACATTATGTAATGTCGCCTGGACAAGAAACCCTCGGAAGTTTAATTTTGGATGCGTTGACTCTCCTTTTACCGAATAATGGAGCCAACGCTACTGTTCTTAGAGAGTGTGGAGGTGCTAAATGTGTCCAGGATCTGGTTCTGTATCCAGAATGCCGAAATGCAGCTCTGGGCATTATAAAAGAATTGGCGTTAACTACCGGAGGAGACGATGATATGGCGCATTTGCTGAACACTTTACATCAAGCATCATCCACAGAACTATCAGTAAAAATCGATATTTTGGAAGCTTTAAAACAATGTCTAAAGGAATCTCATAGAACAAGAACTGTATTTAGAAAAGTTAACGGGTTTGTCTATGTTACAAGTGTTTTGGTAGCTCTCGAGGGTAAATTTAGTCAAAAAGTAACAAACCCGGAAGTTATAAATCTTCTGTGTATTGTATTGCAAACAATATGTACCGCAATGCGATTCGAACCAGCCAATGCCAAATTTTTTTATCATGAAATTTGTAAAACTAGCCTTTGCGATACGCTTAGGCTTCTTGGATGTTTTACAACCGAGAAAATTTTAAAACTAAGTGAAAGTGATTTTGAAACGCCGTCGAACAAACTGCAAGAAAAATATCAGAAGATTTTTACTGGTTCTCCGCATAATATAGCGTAATAAATTAAGTTTTTTCCTAAACTATTTTTAATTTTGTAATTTTAGTTTTACAGAAGAAATTTCGCCCGCTCTGACTTATGCAACAGTGGTTTATAAACTGTTGTATGATTTGGCACTAGATTTGTTTGATAAACCAAATTCAGGAGCAAATATTTTTCTAATTAAGTCCCCACCTTTATCTAGAGAAAATAGTGAACATTATGTAAGTTACTTTATTTTTTTTATGTTATTTGATATTCAATTATATAAATTTTAGGGTAATAATGCCGCAGAAGGCAGAAGAAGTAATGTAAACTCTTTAAATTTAAACCCACCAACTCCAGATCCCATAATAGTTCACCCAGGAGTTGTAGTTTGTATGCTTCAACTACTACCTTGCATACAAGTATGTGTAATTCATTAATGATATGATACATTTAACACATCAATTTTAGGATGATAACTACGAAACGTTTTTAAGTTTGCAACTATTTTTGGCCGAGATTATAAAGTCCTTAGTGCGAAGTGAACGCAACCAGCAACTGATGTGTGACAGAGACTTCGTCGGTTATCTACTGTCCATCGGTTCAGCCCCTTTACAGAACGAAAATCACCCTTTACACGGGCCTTTGCAATACATGCTAGAAAGACTTGCTGCTCAAGCTTTAGAACCTACCGATCTAAGACAGTTTCTAAGATTAGGCAATCCACTTTGTTGCATACCCTTGGAGTCAGACGAACCTGGAGGAGGCGCAGTACCTCTAACAAGGATAAAAACGTTGGTCTCAATGACAACCCCGAAAGATTTTAGAGCACAATCTTCCTGCACTCTTCCTCCTTTTGTCGAATTCGACATGTCTGCCGAGGGTTTTGGTTGTTTGTATCTGCCGAGTATAGCGCCACAATCACCTTCCACGCCAAGTGTTGTTTCCACGGTGGACAGTAGCGTTTTGGGTGGAATAGGATCAGGAGACAGACTGTTTCCACCTCAGACTGGGCTAAGTTACTCCACGTGGGTTTGTGTCGATAAGTTTTCGGACCCCAGATCGGATCCTCACTGCGTTAGGCTGCTCACTCTAGTCAGAAATTTTAACAGCCAACGCGAAGATCATTTGGTTTGCCTGTCTGTAGTTTTATCGGCCAGGGATAAGGCTATTATTGTATCCACTCAAGAAACACATATCCCTAACCGTAAGTTTATTATTATTGTATTTATATAATGAGGTTAGGACATGATATCGAAAATCAGTCTTAAACCACTTCTATTATAGAGATTAGTCACTAAAAATATCCAAACCATTGTAAAAAAAACTAAAATAAAAAATTACTGAAAATCTCACTAGCGTGACGTCACGAATCGTCGGACGTTACAAATAGTATCGGGACTCACGAAACTTTTTGTAAGGTCCGACCGAACCTGATTTTTTTTGTCTAGGCCAAGACCAAGACCGAGAACAAAATAAATTATCGGCCGAGACCAAGATCGCGACATGACCAAGAATACAAAAAATCGGGAAAATATACAAAAATGTAAAATTCGATAAATAATCGTTTAATAGTAACTTAAATTTGTCAATGACAATTATATTGTCTATTTAAATAACGTATAGACAGGCGATGCGAGGTCCATCCCTTTCAAAAATATTTCTCTGCTCGATAGATTTAATGCAGGTAAAATTTACAGTGTGAACTCAGATTAGTTGAATATATAACATCAGTTTCTAGGTCATGTTCATATTCTTTAAGGTATTTAAATTGTTTGAGTAAAGTACATACTGGAGGTGCAAATTTTAAATTTAACATAATTTTAAGAATTTTATACTAAAACACGGTGCATGTTAATGGTTGGTTATAAACAAGTAACGAAATTGGTTATGTTCGTATTTTTATTTTTGCGTATACTTCCTTTGTAAGTCTTGACACGAATGTTACACCAATAGTATCGTGACGTCACGCGCTTTCCTTGGAGGTCATCGAAACGTTTAAAATATTGCGTTTTTTCAAAACGCTGTAGCGTTCTTAAAAATGGTTTGAGAAACGTAGGAAAACATTTTTAATGACAAACTCGTATACGTATATTTTTATTAAAAATTTGGAATCTACATATATATATGTAGATTCCAAATTTTTAATAAAAATTGCATGTTTCAACCCCCTTATATGAAAATATTGTGGTGTTTGCAGATGTAGGTGATTGGGAACCTGAAGGCTCTGGAGATAACGGGGCTCGGGTGTGGTGCCCAGATATTCTTCAAGAAGGACAGTGGCATCATATCGTTGTAGTCTTGAATAGGGCGGTATTAAAAAATTCATCTTTTTCACTATACCTTGACGGTCAGCAAATTCATGGTCAGAAAATGCACTACATATCGCAAAATCCTGGTGGTGCGTCAGCTAATTTAAACGTTGCCTCCTCCGTTTACGGGTTTATAGGAACCCCTCCCTCTTGGAGAAGATATTCCAGATTATGTTGGAAACAGGGTCCGTGTCATTTGTTCGAAGAAGTTCTAACACCTGTGATAGTCTCAAAGATGTACAGTCTGGGGCCGCATTATATGGGATCTTTTCTTGCCCCAAATCTAAATACGGAAATTAGTCAAATGGTTACAGAAGAAAAAGTTGTTTTTGGCCTAAACGCCAAGGCTGTATCGCAATTAACTTTAAACAAGATACGCAAGGTTTATAGTAGAATTGATAATAAATCAATTGCAAAACAATTAGGTATGTCCAGTCATGAAAGTGCAACGCCCATAAGAATATTACACAATTCGTCTGGGCATTTAGCTGGTTCAGCAAGAACCCTAGGGGGAGTCGTTATTGGATACTTGGGAGTGCGTGTGTTTTGTCCAAGGCCTGTTGCCACAATTATAGACACTGTTGGAGGGTGTTCGGTTCTATTGGGTGTTATCGCCATGGCGCAAGATGTGGAAAGTCTTTATGCAGGCGTTAAAGCGTTAGTGTGCGTGGTGAGAAGCAACAAAGTAGCCCAAGCAGAAATGGATAGAAAACGAGGATACCAAACTTTGGCCATGTTGTTAAGGAGAAAAAGAACTCTACTTAATTCTCATATCTTACATTTAGCATTTAGCCTTGTTGGAACAGTCGATAGCGGACGAGAATCCTCAGCCATTCCAAATAAAACAGCTTTTCAGGATCTTTTGTGCGACCTTGAGGTATGGCATGAAGCCCCAGGCGAATTGCTACGTTCCCATCTCGAACACCTTTACGAATTAGCGGCCGAATCAAGCGAGAAGAAAAATAATTTATGGATAATGCGGGAACTTCAGTTAGTCGAGAAACTTTTGCATATAACTGTCGAAATAAGGCATTCAGCAACCCGACATATTTTATTCAGTCTTCTTTCTGTTTTGCTTGGTGGTCAACCCAGACAAAATGATCTGCTTCTTTTCGGTCAGTTTCTGGTATCTACCTTGCCTGCGGCATCAAATATAAATGAAAAACTATTGAATTTACGTGAAGGAGATAGCGAGAGAGAAGGTGAAGGAGAACATATTCTTTTAAGAAACAGATGTCTGCAATTATTACACTCCATGGTTTTTTCCAGTAGAAATACTGTTGGGGACGAAATATCAAGAACACTAGGTTTTGATTGGCTACTACTTTTTATGCAACAAAATATACATTCTTCTACAGTATTATGGGCGGTCAGGATATTGGTTGCCATTTGTTCTAGTCCTACTTTAATGTTAAGGTAAATGTTTTTTATATTATAATTAAATTATTAATGTTAATTTTTTATATGTTAGATTCAGGGAAGGCAGTATCAACGGTGGATGGCTAAGGTACACTGAACAGGTTACTCACAATAAAATGGCAGTTGTTTTGGGTTGTCAAATGAACAGTACCCATGGCAACGATATGAAATCTGAAGCTCTAAATATATCAGGATTTCAGTACTTGGGTTGGTTACTGCCGTCGCATTTAGAAATACCTGAAATTTACTATTTGCTCACAGCTATGATGATGGGACAGCCAGCAAAACTATTGCCCGCAGAAACTAAGTTTGATCTAGATACCCTTTGGGCTTTTTTGTGGGGCAGCTCTATAAATAATCAACCGATAAATAGCGTATCACCGAAAATAAATTTATGCCCTGAGGCAGTCGTAGTTTTGTTGGGCATGGCTCGAGCTATGTTGCACTCGGAACAGAATACTTTACCGAATTGGTTGCATAATCATACAATATCAATAGTTCAAGTTTTGTTTCAATTGTATCACAATATGCCTGAAATTATGCCCATATTTATGTCTGCTGAAGTTCTAACGGCATTGGCCAGTGTTCTGTTTCCCCCTCACTTAACTTCAATGGACAGTACTGACAGTAGTGGCGCTTCAACCCCTGCATGCGAAGAAAATGAAGGCCTGATGATGGTTACCCATCAAATGGAAGAAGAAAACCTAACACAACACCCAGCTAGACAATTTATTATCGATTTTATTCGTGTGATTGTGGTGGATTCTTTAAGCTTGGCAAACACTGGTAAAACATCGCCAGTGATTGACCTGGCATTGGATGCATTCCCTGAAAACTCCACATCATCTCAACAAACGTGTTATCAAACTGAAATTCTAGTCACATTAATGGATCACTTGTTGGCCGCTGACATGCTTGTGGGGGATCAAGCGGCCATTCCCATAGTGCCATTAAACAATGCTCATATTCAACACGTGGCGCCCAATGTTTTCTACTTGACGGCGAGAATTGTTGATAAATTATGGCAGGGATCGCTTACTAAAGATCCGCACGAAGTTTTCGATTTTATAGTGAAATTGATCGGGCAGGCTAAAAGGAGAACAGGAAATTTATCCTTGGAATGCCTTTACCACTGCTTAAATCGCAGCATATTGTATTTGCTAAGCCGACCTACGGATTCTATAGCCGATCAGATGTCTGTTTTAGAGGCGCTACATAAACTCACAACCAACAGGTTGATAGTTTTTGGTGCTGGAAACCACGAATTAGACTTCATTGGTTGTCTTACTTATTGTCTACTTCAACTTACAGCCGATATGAAGATAATGTTGGATTCCAACATGAGAACAACTTGGCACGTGAATCCAAGCAGCGATTTGGAATCGAGAGATGAACACTTAAATACTCACCAGGGAAGGAACCTTATGGCCGGTGCAGCCTTACGCGTATGGGAGGAGTTGTACGTGTGCAAAAAACCAGCTATTGAAGAGGCGTTTAAGGTCACCTTTGCAGCTCCAACAAGCTCTAAAGCACCAGATTTGGCAACGGTTCGAGACCAAGTGTTTGAAGCGGCTACCAAGCTGTGGTTAAATTATGTCGATGGTGAAAGGAAGGCCAGTTACCGAGTACCTTGGGAGTTACACAACCAAATTCAATCTAAAATTCATAAAGTTACAGGGGGATTAACCAGATTAGCCAGTAGAACAAAAGTGAGAAAAGATGACACCATGCGACCAAAGATTAGGATTGGTAAAAAACAGGCTTTAACGTGGATGATTACGCACGTAAACATTTTAAAGTAAGTTAAGAAAAATTTAAATAAGTAAAGAAACTAATTAATTTATAACTTTCAGAGAGCTAGTCGATATGCGTAGACAACAACATTTAAACACAACCCAACACACACAACGCTATGTTCATCAAGAATGGTTGCAGACTGAAAATGAACTGACCAGGGAACGCGGACTTTGGGGACCTCCATTACCATGTCATTTGGATAAATGGATGTTAGATATGACTGAAGGGCCCCACCGAATGCGCAAAAAGGCCATGAAAAACGAATTATTCTATTCACACTATCCTTATAGACCTGATCATGAAAAAGGGTTGCTCAAATATAAAGTAAAACAAAATATTGCATAATGAAAATAATAATACGAATAACAAAAATTTTAGGTAGCTACAAGTTATCACAGCAAAAACCACTTCCAAGCCCATCAAAAAAGGCAGTTATGCGGAGTAAGTGAAATGAGTACACACGAACCTCTGGAAAGAAGTGATAGTATTGCGGATGAGCCTTCGCCATTACCCATAACTGCCTTGCCTTCCTTAGCAAGACTTAAGTCTGAACCAGAGGATCAACAAGAAGAAAACGATGTTGAAGAAGAACAACAAACACCTCAACCGGACAATCAAACTCTCTTGAGATTATTAGAAGATAACGAAAAAGTAAATATTTTACAATTGTATTAATATTATTGATTAAACTTTCTTTTTAGATTACATATATGTTTAGATGTGCCAGAATACAGGGTTTAGATACCACTGAGGGCCTTTTATTATTTGGCCATGAACACTGCTACGTAGTGGATGGTTTTACTTTACTTAAAAATCGCGAAATAAGAGATATAGAAAGTGTTCCTACAAATAACACAAACGAATACGAGCCAATTTTGCCCAATCCTGGATCGCCAAGAAGATCAAGGGCAATGAGACAATGTTCTAGATTTGCTTACGACGATATAAGAGAAGTCCACAAACGGCGATACCTTCTGCAGCCTATGGCTTTGGAGGTATTCTCTGGAGATGGCAGAAACTATTTGCTTGCTTTTCCAAGAAAAGTGCGAAATAAAGTTTATCAACGATTTATGGCTACAGCTACTGGTATTGCAGATAGTGCTCAACAATCGGTTGCTGGTCAGAAAAAAACAGCTAATGTGGAACAAGCTACGAGTTTACTGAGCAATCTTATTGGCGAAACGAGCGTCACTCAGAGATGGGTGGTAAGTAAATAATAAATTTGTATGGTGGTTAGGATTTAAATAACATATTTTTTAGAGAGGAGAAATATCGAATTTTCAGTACCTGATGTACCTAAATACTCTTGCTGGTAGGTCTTACAATGATCTCATGCAATATCCAGTGTTTCCTTGGATTTTATCAGATTATGATTCTGAGGAGTTGGATTTAACCGATCCCAGCACTTTTAGAGATTTTACAAGACCCATGGGAGCACAAAGTCCGGACAGACTGGAGCAATTTAAAAAGAGATTCAAGGTAACATTTAAGTCTATTCATTCTAACTTCCAACTCCCCATAACACAAAAACATTAATTCTCAGTGATATTAGGTTGAATACATTGATAGTCCAACATATCAGTTTTGCAAAATAACACATAATATTTTGTTAACCATAGGAATGGGATGATCCACACGGTGAAACCCCACCCTACCATTACGGAACCCATTATTCCAGCGCTATGATAGTATGTTCATATTTGGTGAGAATGGAACCATTTACTCAACATTTTCTGAGACTGCAAGGCGGGCATTTCGATCTGGCCGATCGTATGTTTCATTCCGTCAAAGAAGCATGGTTTTCTGCTTCAAAGCACAACATGGCCGATGTTAAAGAACTCATACCTGAATTTTTCTATCTTCCGGAATTTTTGGACAACTCAAACATGTTTGATTTTGGCGCTAAGCAAAGCGGAGTAGCGCTAGGCGATGTCGTGTTGCCACCGTGGGCTAAACAAGACACCAGAGAGTTTATTAGGGTGCATCGAATGGCTTTGGAGTGCGATTATGTATCACAGAATCTTCATCATTGGATTGATTTAATTTTTGGCTACAAGCAACAAGGCCAGTCTGCTGTGGATGCCGTTAATGTTTTCCATCATTTGTTCTACGAAGGAAACGTTGATATTTACAAGTAAGAGAGCTTATAGACTAAGCAATAAAAATAATACCACCTTAATTTAATAGAGGTTCATATATCCAATTAAAAAATAGTAACATTTTGGTGTGGTACTTTATTTTTATTGATTAGGGCATATTATGATAATATTTTTTAGTATTGATGATCCTTTGAAGAAAAATGCAACCATTGGATTTATTAATAATTTTGGACAAATTCCCAAACAACTGTTTAAAAAGCCACACCCCAGCAAAAGAATGGGCGGAAACAATAATCGTTCTTCTGTAATTGATACTGGTGCACTAGTTCAAGCGTTTACTTTGCCTCAACCGGAAAAACTATTCTTCCATCATTTAGATAACTTAAAACCATCACTTCAACCTATAAAAGAAGTCAAAGGTCCGGTCGGTCAAATTTTGCACGTGGATAAAGCAGTATTAGCTGTCGAACAAAATAAAGTTCTTATGCCGCCCCAGTTTAACAAATATGTTGCCTGGGGCTTTGCTGACCATTCCTTGCGAATAGGGAATTACGACAGTGATAAGGCAGTATTTGTATCTGAGAGCGTGATTCAAAATCACGGCGAAATATTGGCCTGTGTATGTCCGTCTCCGAAATTCATCATCACAGCTGGCAACAGCTCGGTGGTGACTGTATGGGAATACGAGGCGAGGAAAAAATCTCTCAGCATAAAACACAGTTTATATGCTCATACGGAAGCCGTAACGTGCTTGGCATCCAGCCCTGCTTACAACGTTATAGTATCTGGATCTCGTGATTGCAGCGCTATTATTTGGGATTTATCTCGGGGAGTTTTCGTAAGGCAGCTACGTGGTCATGCTGGACCCGTAGCTGCGGTGGCAGTTAACGATTTAACTGGCGATATTGCCACTTGCGCAGCTACTTGGCTACACGTTTGGAGCATAAATGGAGACGAGCTGGCCAGTGTGAATACTTGCGTGGGAAGAGCCGATAGGATGCAACAAATTTTATGCGTGGCATTTTCTCAAACGCACGAATGGGATTCCACCAATGTTATCATGACAGGATCTACAGACGGTGTTACAAGAGTAAGTTATTTTTTATTTTAACAAATTGTATGTTCTATCGTTGTATAAGATTGTAAAGTCTTATTAAATGAGTAAGCAACTTAAGTTAAACTATCTTTTATATCCAACCAGTTATAACAATTTACAATTACATTAAAAACGTACATCAGTAGCGCATTAGAGAAAACATGTGTTTTTTATTATATTTTATTCTGTACGCTACTGACTGGAACTTTTGCTGAATAAGTAGGTCGAACAGTGTCAGTTTTGCTTTATTAAAGAATGAACCTACTTACATAATTATTATGTAAACAATAACAATAAATGTATTTTAAAGATTTCTCTGTTAAAATTGTGTTTTAACATTCTACCGGCCAGGGGGTGGTAATGGTCTGCGTAGAGGTTGAAGTTCTATCGTACGTTTCTCTTTATCATGAGTTGTCTTTGCCTCTGGGGAGTTCTTCTGGAGGTGGGTCCGTCTGCATTGTATGAAGTGTAAGAAGACCTTGATTGAGATTCCTAAACCGACGACAAGAACCATTCTTGTGATTGTACTTGTTATCAAGGAGTGGTGGTGGACTTTCTTCCAGATGGTGGATTGTAATTTCTCGGAAAGGTCGATTTCTGCATGTCATCATGATCATCACTATTTCTTATGACGGGCTTAATAGGTTTCCAGTCTGGGTGGATATGTGGTTTAAGCTCGTTCAGTTCTTCTACTGTTGATTTCGAGTACGATGCTATTACCGGGATTGTTGTGATCCGCCTAGGAGTTAGAATGTTCTGCGACGTTTTTATTAAGCATTCTTGATTTATTAGGATAATTGGAGTGCTTGATATAATGACATCTTCCTTTTCGCCGTAGCAATGTATGTAGATACGTTATTCCTTTCCAGATATCACAATCCAGGCGTTGGGCATTTACAATTCTTTCCAGGTCATTCCAAACATGCTTCTTTGTAATGTTTTGCATTTTGTGGGGTTTAATCGTTAAAAGATTAGTTGGCGAGGTTTGGATGCTAGAGTTGTTTTCAATACGTAATGACACGGGAGTGATCATAAGCAAGGTGACGTTACTCATCCAAACTAACAGGAACTGACTGTAGAAATGCAAGTATTCGATTATCAAAGTTGTCTTGACTATTGAATGGTTTATTAAGTGTTTATAAAAATTACCCCTATAGGGGTAATTTTTTCCGGGCATTTGTTAGAATTTTGTTTACATGAGATGGTGGAAGCAAACAATGTAAGCTGCCACGACGGGAACGGACATCTAACAAGCAATTGTGTCTTCTAAGGCAATCCGTAGCGACAGTGTTTGCTACTTGATATGCGCTCATTAGATGAATGTTAAGTTTGTTTGTATCGCGATATCGATCGTGGCAAACCAGTTGTCCATCATTTTTACTTATTGCAGTCCTTGACTGATTGTTTGGCAAAACTCTTCCAACCGTTGGTTTATCCTCGCTTCAGTTTCATTGACTATGGCTAGTGATGATACCATGACTTTAGTTTAGCGATTGATGGCTTGAATTATTTTCTCTTGATTTTTATGTAGATTCTCAATGTCTTCGTACACTTCGTTATTGTCCACAAACACTGATGTCATTAGTTTTCTAAGCAATCCTCTCCTTTTACGACTTTTGTTATCTTCGATAGTGGTTTGGATTACATGTATTTCTTCTACTAAGTTACTAAGATGGTTTGTCAATGTTGTGCATTGCACAGTATTTGTGAATCTTTTGGCTTTGATCCACATATTTTTAAGTTCACTTGTGGCGCTCAGAACTGTGTCGATTTCTTCCTTTAGCCTTGCTCTTGCGTATCGTGTTTTAACCTCTTTCTACCCTAGCAAATCCTAGATGCTCTACGTAGAAACCAGGGTTTAGGGATGACACGTTAAATTGTGTAGAGGGACACCCTTGGGCAGCCACACTCATTGCTAACACAATAGTTAGAAGTGTCTTTGCTAAGTTTCTTTTTGCTTGTCATGTCAAAAAATAGATAGCAATGGCTGAATGTTATTTTAGATGTGGTCAATTGACTATGTTCAAGTCCCAGATGAAGATACAAAAGAGACCAAATCCAACGAACCTGTAAAACACGCACCAATTCATCACAGATTGATCAAACAAATCAATATTTCCATTGAATCTACGGGATTGATGAAATCAGGTTCAGAGAGTAGTTTATCCGAGGACAATAATCATAGCAGATCTCCTATCGACAAACAACGTTCAGATGAAATACCAAGCACCAAAGAGTGGAGAAGTGAACTGCAAGAAGAAAAAGAAACTTGTAGCGATACCGAGGAGCAAGTGTTGGTTGCTCCGATTCCTGCTGTTAGAAGAAGGCGGTCCAGAGTTCATGCAGGGTTTAGAAAAAGTGAAGGTATAAGGAAAAATTATTTTATAGTTACAGGGTTGTTTTAAGTTTTAGTTTTAGGCGGCAACAGCGCAGACAATACTAGTTTAGATGTGGACGATAATGCTGCTATGAGAACCAGTAAATCCGATACAAGCCTAACAGATTCTTTTGTGATGGTTTCTGATGCCAAAAAGAAAGTTAACACCTTGAATGCTTTAAGACCAGGTAAATATGAATAACAACAAACATTTTTTTTTAAATTAAACTTATTTTTTAAAGGGTTTAAATGGCAAAGACAATTGGTATTCAGAAGCAAGCTCACAATGCATACTGCATTTGACAGAAAAGACAATGCAGAACCAGCTTCCATTACAGCATTAGCAGTCTCAAAGTAAGTAATTTACGTAAATCCGACACATACTCTTCTTCCAATTATTTTAATTCTAAAGTTTTTTTACCCATGAGCAAGGCTTGAAATAAAATGCGTTCAATGAAATTTTACATGCCTACATTATTGATTTTTTAAATTTGATGAAAAGCTTGGCAAAAGAGTTTGATACAAACTGTCAGCAAATACATATGAATGGGTAAAAAGCAAAAGGTACAAGTGCATTTTAACATGAACATAAGTTAAGTACAGAATTGGTTGTCCAAATTTTTTTAAACATCTTGTTATAACGCAGAACTCGGCATGATTAATGCAAACAACAATTTTTAAACAAGTATCCAGATTTTTGTATATAGCAAAAACTATAAAAGTTAATAACTCCACTTCTCTTTTTTGCACTTTTACCCTTTTGCTTCTTACCCCTTCACATGACAACCATGTTAGATTTTGCTGGATGCCTTATTTTAAAACCCATAAAAACCGTTCTTGGATGTAAAAGGGTCTAAAAGCTGGTAGCAAGAAATCTGGCAAAAATAAAATAACAACTTTCAATAGGGTACCTTTTAAAATTCTTAATCTTATTTAAAAAAAAGCATATGATTCTGCCGATTTGACATTTGCACTGAACAGAAGGGGAATACATTGTTGGGAAAAGCTTTAATTTTAATAGGAATTATTTAAGATTTTACTTTTTTATTGCCAAAACGGTAAATTTAAAAGATTAAGCTTTGAAAAAAATTACAAAAATAATAATTTTAACATACAATTGCCAATTTTAAATTACAGAAAAATTTACTAGGGAAAGGAATAAGTTAAGTTAAATTACAGAGAAAGTTACTGGGAAAAGGGACATTTTGAGTTTTGTCAATAATTTTTAATATGAAGTTTAGGAAATTATAATCAAACTGAAGTTAAATTACATAGAAAGTTACAGGAAAAAGTGACAGAAGGGGATTTTGCCAATCATTTTAGAACATTATAATCAAACTTAAGTTTTACTGAAATTATTTGTAAAAGTGTCTGATGCCTTACAAAATCATATATTAAATTCTATGGAAACTTTTCAAATGGAGATACTACCTTAAACTGTACTTGTGTGCAATAAACCATGTTTTTGTATGCGCCCTTATGTCGGTGTGCAAATCGGGAACCTGACTTACACTGCACCCTGTAGATTGTCAACTTACATACTAAAACGATAGGAAATTATAATATTACGTTTTGAAATTAAAATGCTGTGGGGAAGTTATTGATTAAAATAAAAATATGCCCTTATATAATAGGGTGGGCCGATTATAATATTTTTCAAATATCAAATTGTGCAATGGTGGAAAAGTTGTGCATTTATAAGGACAGAAAAATATTATATATATTTAAACTGCCGCAAGGCCTTGAAAGATCTTAATGTAATTTAGTATCGTTATAAATACGAAAAAAATTATCTGAGAGAAAATAGGGTTATTAAAAGTTTTGAATGATAAATATTTATTAAAAAAAAAACAAAAATAAAAATGAATTTATCATCAACACAAATTTAATTCAATTTATAATCCTGTTTTACCTGCCATTTTTCACAAACACCCAAAAACCACAAACAGATACTACTTGTAAAAATTTCTATTATTCAACTAATTGACGATGTCAAAATATTATAATTTATATAAACAGTGAAGCCTAGACTGTCCTACGTCAAACACGAAAATCCTAAAAAATATTTATTCACCATTTTACGCCGTCTCTCCAATAATTGCAATTATTGCAAAATTTAAAATTTATAGTTTGACTTCGTACAGTTCAAATAATAATAATAATAATAATTTATTATTCACAGAATTAAGGAAAAGATAGTCTCTATTGTTTTTTAAAGTAGAAACCTGTCATGTTTATGTTTGATATACATTTAATTTATCTTTTTGACCTGTCATATTTACCATTTTCTGTTGTACAATATTTGTACAATATATAATAACAGAAAATGGTAAATATGACAGGTCAAAAAGATAAATTAAATGTATATCAAACATAAACATGACAGGTTTCTACTTTAAAAAACAATAGAGACTATCTTTTCCTTAAATTCTTCTATGGTGTAACAGCATGCAGACTGCAAAAAAGATTTTATGATTTTTTTAAATTCATTAAAGGGTTTTTCTCTTAAACCATTTGGCAAATTATTATAGAGGCGAGTTCCTACGAAGTAAGGAGACTTTTCATATTTTGCATGCCAATGCATTTCAATGGGGATTTTTTCTTTAGATCTGGTGCTGTAGTGACACTTATTTTTATTCATTAGTTCCATTTTATTGTTATGTACCAGACAAAGACAAAAAAATATTTAAGGAAAATATTCACAACTTTTCCGCTTATGAATAATTTTAATTTTTTTAAAAATTACTTTTAAATTTTTAGAGGCGTCACGGCAGTTCAATTTTGCAAAAAATGTTTACTTTCCTATTTCACAACTTTTTCTTAAATGCAGAATTTAATATTTTTAAATTTTAGAAGTTAAATATAAAATCGGACCACCCTATTATATAAGTACATAATATTTTTCCCCAAGCAATTCTTAAATAAGAATTATTTTGTACGCAGGGATCACAGAAGCGTATTCGTGGGCGACACTAGGGGCAGAGTGTTTTCTTGGAGCGTGTGCGACGTACCGGGTCGCGCTGCCGACCATTGGCTCAAGGACGAAGGGGCTGACGTTTGCCACAGTTGCGCGATAAAGTTTACAATCTACGAGCGACGTCATCACTGTCGAAACTGCGGCCAAGTGTTTTGCTCGCGATGCAGCAAATTCGAAAGCGAGATATCGCGACTGCGCATACTCAAGCCGGTGCGCGTTTGTCAGAAGTGCTACGCGACGCTAAAATCAAACTAGTCGCACAAAATATCCCAAGAGTGTTTGTTATTTATCTAATGTTAATTATGAATAGAGATTTATATAAGTTGGGACAACCATATGCGAGATGAGACAATATTTTGTATACAAGATTTAGGTCATTTTAAATTTTGCAAAGGAATATTTACTATACATCTGTATTTTAGTATGAATATGATGGAGCAAAAGTCTCATCTCTATTTATTGTTTCGTAATTTTCTACTGTAGCCATTAAGTTGTCCTGCTTTAGAATTGTGTATAAAATAAAAAAATATCTGTATTAATAATTGTTACCAGGTAGAGGCAACGATAATAATGCATAATGATAGCATAGTAGATAATAGTAATAAATAAATGTTTATAGAAATCCACTGTAAATTTAGTACAGTATTATCAAGAATACTTTTAACATTGAATGTGTTGTTATATTTTTAATTGTTTATATAATTTTTTATCTAATTTATTGTAATATTTTGTTTTATATACCTTTTTTTATTATACCTATTAATTTTTGTGATATATATTTAATTAAATTTAATTATTTTATCTTAAATTGAAATTGTTGTTCTTAGCGCTACCCTATTATTTAATAACAGCAATATAATATTGAAGTACAATAATATTTGTTGCCTGTAAAAGATAGAAATTCATACTGTGTACAAAAAGAAAGCTTGTGCAATAAGAGGCATTATCTCCCTTATTATTTTTATATTTAATCAAGGACCGAAAAATTAAGTGGACCATTTTAAGACTTTCCCATTTTAATTATTAAATTTCTCCAATATTAACATTTTAGGGAAAAGTATAGTCAAAATGTTTCATTTAAAGATGGGTGTGCATGAGCATCTGTAGACAATATATACATGTGCATTGTAATGCATTCCAAAAAGTATATTTCCGTATATTTTGTAAATGTATGTGATATTGTAGGATATAGTTTTTAGAAAGTGTATATATATCCACTGTCCTCAATAATTATACAAATAAAATTATACCCCTATAGCCCTACAGTTTTTTATTTTTTAATATACTATGTATATTGGGCAGATAAAGTATAGCATAGTAAAAGGAACACTATGTGCAAATGGTAAACACTCAATTTTTTTTGTTTCTTTAAGAAACTTTCTTGACCCATTACTGGTAATATTTATAAGAAAGAATTAAACCTTCACCACGGCAGAGTTTTTGTTTTGAGTGCGTTCCACCAACTCAAATACCTACAGACAGCTCATCGGTGTCGGACAACTTGGTGTAGTGGAACATATTGAAAACAAAATACTACCTGAGCTTATATACTGCGCTGGTAAGCCAATAGAGGCGAGATTTAAGAACATCACGTGATCCACACCGTCTAACGACGTAGCCTTTACCACAATCGGTACATACTAGGCAACCAAGAATGCACGACAAATTTCACAGATACTAATATGGCCTAAAGGAATCTAGAATTAGCCCAACCGGGCTATACATTAAGGTAAACATTCAATTTTCTTAGTTTCTTCATAAAACTTTCCATAAACTACGTGTCTCCTTTGGGGGGGGGTTACTGAAAAGTACACAACATGTCTCAATTGGAACTCCCCATTAATGGGGGTTGCCACGTTTTTGTAAGTATTTTTTATTTTTTTTTCAACAATTTATGTATTTGCTTGTATATAATTAAAGTCTCCAATGTAAACAAAATAAAATAAAATCCAATACAAATTATACTTATAGATAGACTTAAATAATTTAGGAAATTGGTAATTATACTTACCTTTGTCCCGAATTTGGCCACTTTATTAATTAAACATCGTCAAGGTCACATCTGTTTAACAACGGTTTTCAGACGTTCCATAGGTCCACTGAACAATATTTTAAGGAAGCATGCTTTCTTAAAAAATTATTCACAAAGAACCACATTGGAGGAAGAAAAAGTTCAAGGAAGCAGCGGTTATGCACCAGAACCTTAAATGCTTTAGTAAGCCTTCAGTGGATATAAGAAACGTCTAAAAACCGTTGTTAAACAGATGTGATCTTGTAATGAAACGATGATATATACGTCAACCTGGATGCTTCCACTTGTACCTAGGTGCATTTGGCTTGATTATAAAAATACCTGTAGCTACTTAACTTATTCACTATTTATCTGAAGACGGAAACGTCCTGTTTAAAAACTACCAAGTCCAAAACCTTACTTTTATTCAACAAACATTATTTGTCTACAACCTTCAACCAAACCAACTTATTACAATTTCTCTTAAGTCTATTCAAATCCAAGCTGGACTAAACAAAAACGCCCAGACGCGTGATAACTCGTTTCTATTGGTCGATTCTGATGGTGTGACTCGGATTGTGAGCTCTTATTGGTCGATTCGGAGGATTGTGTTTACATTTAGTCCAGCTTTAGCGTAATTGGCGATTTTTAGCATTATGCTAATATTATAAAATACTGGTTTTTATATATGTATATATCAGTAAATTAATAAATTTTACTACAGCAAGTCTTATTTACGAGCGGGTCTAAGACTTCAATTTAAAGTACAACATTACTCGCAGATACTTCTACAATCTCAATACAAGGACAGGATAATGCACTTAACTGTGTATAATCGAAAAAAGAATCTCCATCATTTCCCTTAAGCTTCAAACAACTTGTGATTATGATTTTATAAATATTGTAGCTATCGGCGATTACACTAACAGCATTGGATTAGTGTAATCCAATGCTGTAAATGTAATCGATAATAGATGCATTATTTACAAAATCACTACACTAATCATTACACTGTGTAATTTACACAAATATCATTACATTAAAAGCAGTTGTCTACATTTTCTTTTCCGTTTTTAGCCAAAATTGAGTGGCAGAGAAAATTTCTGCAAGTGAGAAAATCCCCAAAATTCGCATAATCAAAATTAAAAGGAAACATAGCTCACTAAATAATAAAACATCTTACACGTGTGTTGACTCCACACAAATTTTAATTAAAAAAAGTGGGTTTACAACGGTGTAAAACCCATTGAATTAAGAATGTTGACATAAAATAATCATTTTAAGGATGTTAGGGAGGTACTTGGGGTTTACACCAGTGTAGGACCACAGGTGCACTTTAAAATACATTTTATAAAGTGAAATTAAAATAAAACATTTTTAGGATGACCTTACCTAACTAGGTATTTCATGAGGTGTTTTAGAATTTAAATTAATAGATGAAGGTTAAGTATTTATAATAAATTAAATACATATGGGTATAGGTATACATATATGTATATATTTTTAATAAAAAATTCTATAAAATTAATAAATTACATCAAACCTTCAATATCAGAACCTATGCTTATAGACGTATTTTCTTGTGTGTCTCTATTTAAGTACATTCCAAAAGAAATTTTTCCTTTTAATTCTCTGGATAATGAAGCTAATGGTTCTTTGGAAATATCCCCAGTTGATTGGTCTATGCAAATCATTTGACACCTTGTGCATTCCTTTCCAGACTAAAATATTATTTTTTCATTTACAATGTATTTTTTTAAACCTGAATTTTAGGTGAACAAAAGTAAATAGCTTTGTTCGCGGAGCCCATCCATGACTAGTTCCGTATCTGTATAGGGTAAATAATCACGAACCATGGTACGCATGCGCGATTCGGAACCGATCAAGAATTAACAAATCTCCGCGAACGCGTTTCTAACCGCAACCATCAGTCAGCTGTTTTGTGACAAAACTTTTTGGGGAATCTCCTTCCTGATAATTATAGTATTCAGAATTGCTAAATCGCTCTGCTAAATCATCAACAATCTCTTTGATAACTCGAAAATGCTCCCTAAATAGCTGATCATCGAACATGGAAACAATTTCTTTAAAATATGCAGTATTTTTAGGAACTTCAATTAAATCTAAATTATTTTCTAAATCTTCATCACTGGATGATAGATGATCACTAAAGTGACCAGATTCTGTCAAAAAAAATCGGGACATTTTGTATGAATTTACCTTAATTACAAAATTGACACAATGATACAATGCAAATTGTAAATTTGATGTTACTTAATTATTGTTGATTGTGACATTTTTGTATTTAAGGTTAGTTTACACAAAATGTCCCGTTTTTTTTTGACAGAATCTGGTCACTTTAATGATCACTCATCTATAAAATAAGCAAGGAAATGAACAATGCAAGTAAAAAATAAGTATTTCAACTTACGTTTTCGTTTAACAATTTAATTAAAAACAATATAGAACATATAACCTAAAATAAACTTTAAACAATAATGAACAATACGCATGTCTGACAGCTAGTACATGCTAAAATCCTCGGATCGTTTTGACTTGTCAGTAATTAGTTCGAAACTGGTCCCGAAGGCTCCGCGAACGAGTGATCAAATGTCAAATGTTGCCGATTTTTACACCGCGAACGCTAAAATTGCCAGTGCGCATGCGCAGTTGTCGCGGATTGATCACGGATGAGCTCCGCGAACAAAGCTATTATTGTTTGGCTGCGTCATACAAATATTTTGGGCAGGTTAAAAATTTAAAAAAAAAACCTTCCTGAGGGGATCCGAAAATACAAAAAATACGTGTACAACGAAAAGACATGGATACTTAATTTAACCTGAGTGCTTAAAATATTAGATTTAAATAGTCTGTCATAAAATAGGCAATATGGTTAATAAGAACTTTTTTATAAAATAATATTTTCCCACCTCGTAAAAGGTTTGTATTGACCAGCCAAATATTCTGTACATTACCATAAATTTAATATTATCAATTAAAAATTCCTTGTAGTTTTTTTCTTGAAAGGCGTGTTTAAAATCAACCACAAAATTAGCTCTAAATCTATGAATGGTACTATCTATATCTTCAGAAAAATGTTCGTTTGGTACTTTATCTCTTAACCATTTAATACTTGCAGAGTTTATAAGCAAAAATTGAGCTTTATTTGCTAAAGATAACTGATAATCTGAAAAATAACTAAAAATTATACCAGAAAATTTTAAAGACGTTGTGATAAAACCTTGTTTTGAAGTTCTTGTATTTATTTCTTCTATTACTGAGCATTGCCGAAGAAGTCTTAAATCTGGTGTGTTTAAAACTTCCTGCAACCATTGAGAAACTGTTTCACCACAATCCCAACCCTGTATTTTATTACCACACACTTTGCTTTGGCACAAGTATGCATTATTTTTAATATTTTTACTAACATTATTCTCCAACAGCATCTCTATACTTTTATGTCCTGAAATAAAATAATTTTACAATTATTTATAATAAAATAATACTTTACTTTACCCTTAAAATGCAGAGTCATTATGTTTTTATTCAGATCTATAACTGGTTTAATCATACACATTTTTTTTATTTGTTTTTGAGTTATGGCAACTCCAGAGGAGTTAACAATCATCCATTGCCTATCATACTTTAAACCAGTAGCTGTTAATTCCCAATTATCATTCACCGAACAAGCTCCACACGATTTAATAGGAAACAGGAATATTTTTTTTAATACTCCTTTGTTGTCTAATAAATTATTTTGCGTTTTTCCTGATGTAATATTGAATAATATAATAGGCTCTTGTTTAATTGTACTATTTTCTTTTACACAAGTACCATTTTTAATAAGGTTAAACTTTTTTTCATAAGAACTTTTCAAAACTTCATATGTATCAGGTATTTTAATAACAATCGGTTCAGATACAAAACAATTTTTAATCATACCCAAAAATTTATCAGCATGTTCTTTAGTAGAATAATAACCAAAAGATATTCTAACAGCCCCCGTTGGGTACCCATTTATTAAATCGTGTTGGTCACCACAAATATGACCAGCTTCAAAATGCTTTTTGACTTCCTCAACGGACAAATTAAGGTATTTTTGACAAGCACCCGGATTGCAAACACAACCGGTTCTAAGATAAATTCCATTTAAGTTTGCAAAGTGTAAAACCTAGATTAAAGTAAATATGAATTATAAAATATAGGGTGTTCCTAAATGATATGGTAATAAGGATTCTAGAAGTTCTAAAATGGTTTCAATTTGTGATAGTTTTTATGATTTTCAAATAGGTATCTTATTACGTTTTATTAAATTTTGGAGTACGGCTCACTATAAAAATTTTCCATATAGCCACCATTATCCGTTTGTTTTTTAGCACACACAACCCTGTCTATATCCCTACGAATTTTTTATTCTGCCAGGTATGACGGTCTTGGTTAAGATAAAGCAAATTGAGTAAGTTGTACTTATTTTTATGTTCTTAAAAGAAAAATGTTTTGTATGTTTTGCTTGCCAAAGATTTTTTTATAATAAACGAAATCAATTAAACAAATTTATTGCAACCCTATCAGCTCTAAATCTAAGAAGGATGGAATGGAAAGAATTTACCCAAGGCATCTAGCCCCTAGATGAAGTTAACATGGTGGACATATGTAAAAAGTTTTTGTTAAAAAATACAAACTTTAAATTATCAAATTATTATAACAAATTATTATTTTTATTTTTGAACCGTATAATAGAAATTATTAAAAATTGTTAAAATAAAATTCCTTTAATAAATAAAATTAATAAAGTTAAAAGATTATTCCTGCCCCTGGGATACCTTCAATGAATAATTTAAAACGTAAAATCCACGAAAGCAAGGAAAAGGAGCGCCCTTTATTTTATAATTTAAATATAGACTATCATAATTTTCGAGGCCTAGAAGTTGTTTAATTTAAAAAAGAATATTGTTTGTTTACTTTTAATGTAATAATTTTAAATAAAACAGTATTTTTAAAATTATTGTGGAAAAATGTATTATTGATTTACAAAAAAAATCATTGAATTTTTAAGAATGCACTGCTGAAAAGTTTCTTATAAAAAATAAAGCAGGGCTGTCCTAAAAGACATCTCTCTGCAAAGAGTTGTTCATAAAAAATAAACAAGTGCATATTTTTTATAAAATTTATGTTATCTCCTACATAGGAACTTTGTTTAAAAAAAATGTTATAAAAATCCGACCCTTGGTAAATTCAGGGTCCACTTTAGGAAGCCTTACCCAGCTGTATTTTTTCCATACTTCTTGTACACCTCATAAGCTCATAAAAAACTTAAACACCAGATATCAAAAAAGAATGTATTTTTATATAAACCTTTCTTCTTACCTCCTTTTGTATTAGCAAATCATTAAAGAACATCATTTACTTATTTACACTTAAACTTTATTTACCTCTGAATATCCAATATATTCTCCAGTGCACCTTAGTAAATTAAAGTTGATAATACCACCCTGAGTGCTCTCATGCTCAAAAATTGTACTGTGATATAATTTTGCCAAAGGTTGACCATTAGAGTGATGCATTACCAATAAATTTTTATACACATACTGTGCTAAGGAAAAAGTATGGGAAGATATTAATTCCCAACTTAAATTTAGTCTTTTAAATGTCTCAAAACCATGTCTTATAGCCAAGATAGACAAATACGGTAAAGTGCCGGCTTCAAATCTAAAGTTTTTATTAATGTAATATAAAAAAATCATATGATTATAAATAACAAACCTTTCATGTAAATTTACTCTGGGAATCATAACATTTTTGGAGCTTAATGCCATTAAAACTGTTCCTCCTCCTAAATACTTGAAATTTAAGAATTTTTCAGCAGATGTATGTACAAGTAGTGCCCCTAAACCAGTAGGAAAGCCAAACATTTTATAAAAAGACATTGGCACAAAATCTGGTTTGTATTTTGATAAATCAAATTTATTCGTACTTAAAAATGTTGCACAATCAAGCAAAACTAACCAATCCTTAGGATTACTATTTGTAATGTTATTTAAAGCACCAGATTTAACACTTTGGATCCACTCCAAAGGGTATTTGGTTCCACAAAAGTTTGACTGTGCTGGGTATACAAAAAGACAGTTGTATTCATGTTTATTTTCTATTTTAAATTCGGTATTTGAAAAAATATTGAAAGCTTCAGAATCATTAATTTCTATGCTTTTTTTAACATATGCTCTCATACCCAAAACAGATGTGTGATTATTTTGTAAATGAGCAAGTAAACCATTTTCTTCATAGTTAAAATGCTCTGCCACCAATTTTATTGATTGTGTAGCCCCTGATGTGAAAATTACAGAGTATTCGTCAGAATTAGTGTTGAAGTGCTGTAAAATCCTATAAAAATATATTTGTTATAAACTAAGTAAGATCATACTACTTCAATTTTTTAAAACTTTTTTGATTGGAAAGTAAATTTTAATGTTTTTTATAAGTTTTAAGTATTATGTAGCCTAGGCTGATCCACTAAAAATTAAAGATTAACAAAAATAATTTTCTAATAACATTGTCACTTTTTTGCACTGAGGTTTTATAACTCGCCTGCCGCTTGTCATAAAATTTCCGCATACGTGCAAAAAAGTGTCTATTTATATTCTTGTGGCACTATTTCTGGTTATTGTACAGGAAAAGTTTCAAAAGCATCCCATTTTTGTCAAGCTTAGATCCACTTACAGTTTTAGTGTATAATTATAATTTGGAAATTTGCTTTAAGTCCAATACCTGAAATTGGATTTTTTTTTGGGTAATTTAACTTTTACACTTTAATTACACTGCCTGAGTTTATAGCCCAATTTTTACCCATGCAAAATCATAAGTTATGAGTTTGAGCCCTTAAATGTGTAACAAATAGTTACATTATTATGCAAGGTAGTAGGTACAATTAAAAAGCACCTATTGTCTCAAAGTCTTAACCCGTAACTGGTGAAGTGGGGTTTCTCAAACCACACCCATCTAAGAATCTTTACCACGTATTAAATAATGGTGCGAGGCTCGCTACCCCCTGTGTAGCTTTCGGTCAGTAGTCCTTCAGTACTCTACCGGTGTCAAAAAAACCCGATATTTTACTTGGTGTACGATATTACGATTTTTGTACGAATTGGGGTTTGCGTAACCCCCCCTTACCGGTTTTTTTTACTAGGGTTTACTAGAAATACGATTTTGTTAAAACTTTATTCCTTTGTATGTTTGTAAGGAATTTTAGAAATGTCTTTCGCTATTTTGTAGTTTTTTTATTCTATATTTTCAGTTTGATTACTATGAGGCGCCATATGTTTAAATTGTTCAAATTTTTTTAGTTTGAAAAGTCCCTGCCTGTTCATGATTTTTGTTTGTGTATGTATGGTGTGTTGAATTAATAAAGTATTCGAATTTAAAAAAATCATCATTTGCACACGTATTTTTTAGATAACGAAGGTTGATTTGTAAATTATACGGCTGTAATTACAGTGGTTCATCGATATTATTAATGATAGGTAGGTATTTAAATTAATTATAACTACACAAACAAAAATCATGAACAGGCAGCGCCATCGCTCGGGGACTTTTCAAACTAAAAAAAATTTATATCGAACTTTGCATGGTGCTAAATTCAATATATGCAGGGTGTTTCATAATATATGCGCAGGACTTCAGGATGTGATAGCTCATCCAAAAAGATGTAAAAAGTCGCTATTAACTTACCCTCTAAAATGCACAAAACGATTTTTTTTCTAAAATTTCAACACCCTGTATCTCGAAAATTGTGCATTTTAGAGGGTAAGTTAATAGCGACTTTTTTCATCTTTTTGGATGAGCTATCACATCCTGAAGTCCTGCGCATATATTATGAAACACCCTGTATATATATATTTTTGAATTTTTATTTTTGAGGGGTACCCACACCTGGGAATCCCTGGACATTTTAGAGGGGGAATACCATAGGAATACATAGGAATACAATAAAATATAATGGGAATACATGGGAATCCCTGGACGTTTTCCCTTTGGGTGGTTGACCCCTCGGTATCAACTTATATAAAACTTATATTTTAAAATATATATACTTAAGCAAAATTGTAGTAAATTTTACTTATATATTATTTTTTCTTCAAAACATTTTATATACCTATCGAATGAAATAATTATGGAACATATGGCGCCTCATAGATTACTTATAGCAATTTAAAATAGGTTTTGTGGAGTCCCACAGTAAAATTAAATTATTACTATTTTTTTTTATTTTTGTTAAAGTATGTATGCATTATAATCAATAAAGGTTAAGTACCCAAAATTAAATAACATACGCGTTTTTTATTTTGATTTCGTAGAATCGCCGTTTTCATTTGGGGTTTGGTAAACCCCACCTCACCAGTTGTGTAACAAAAAAGTGACTTCACCAGTTAAGGGTTAATTCTCCCTAAATGTGTGACATACTTTATGGATGACCCCTTTTAGTGTTTTTTTAAATGTTTTTGTCAAAAAAGTGTTTACCTATTGACCCATGCAACAAAGATTATTTTAGCTCAAAAAATCGTGTTCGTTATTTTATTAGCGTCAGCTCACTCATAACCTTCTAATTAAGACATTTCGTCACCTGAGAATTACAGTGTTATATCTGCATTTTTTTTTAAATTGAGGTTAGTCTTGTTTTAAGTCTTAAAGATGCATATTGTTCTATCTTTATTAGGGTGTGCCATTTTTAAGCAACTTTTTTTTTCAAATAAAAAACAGGCTAAAAACTTTCAGGAAAAAGAAAAATTTGAGCTCTTAATATTAACATTAAGTGGTGCCTGTTTCTAACTTTCCATTTTTCATTTAAATTTTAATTAATTATTTTTTTTTCTTTTTTCTTATTTCTGTAGCTTGACATTTGAGCATTGTAAAAACGAACTGAAAAATTATTTTGGTAGGAAATTGAATGCTCTACAAAAAAGTGTCAATATATTTTTTCATAGAGTGAGCCGTTCTGAAGGTATTCAAACTTAAAGTTGCCTTTAACATTTCGAATCGCGGCACGTTAGCGTGCCTCTAGTCACTGGGTAATCCGAACGGTAATATACCGACTGAGCCGATCGGGGTCTTGATCTATCTTTCTTGCTAATCTTTTATGATAAAAGTTTTATCAGAGTTATCGACTTTAAAATAAAAAATAATATAGTTAAGGTAAAATTATAAAAAATAAAGAAAGATTAAAAATTTAATACAATAACAAATTCATTATTTTATTTAATATATTATAATTATTGAACAAATTTATTAAACACAAATAACTTTTTTTGATAGTAAATAAAATAAAATGGAAAAAAAAATTGAGATGTAAGTGTTATTTTCTTTCTATACGAAAATAATTATTTATTCCTAAAATAATTTTTAAAACATAAAAAAGTATTAGTTTAATAAAATAAAAGTCATAATTTCATACATTTGCAAGTTTGAATACCTTCAGAATGGCTTACTCTATGAAAAAATAAATTAGAACTTTTTTGTAGAGCGTTCAATTTCCTATCAAAATAATTTTTCAGTTCGTTTTTACAATGCTTAAATGTCAAGATACAAAAATAAGACAAAATATTTTTTTTCCATTTTATTTAAATGGAAAATGGAAAGTTAGGAATAGGCACCACTTAATGTTATTATAATAGAGCTCAAATTTTTAGAGGCTTCTTTTTTTACCTTCCTGAAAGTTTTTAGCCTGTTTTTAGTTGAAAAAAAAATGCTCAAAAATGACACACCCTATATGGTTTATTATAATTATAATTGAAGACATAAGTGGATAAAGGTGTTATGTGACATTTGAGGTAGTAAAATAAAGAAGATTTTTAAATTTTATTTTTGCATAAAAAAACAGTTTGGTGGATACTTTTAAGTTTTTAAATTATAATAATAATTAAAAAAAAACTTATTTTGGTAGTTCCTTGTAAGTTTAAAAATAATAGAGAAAAGTATTACTAGTATGAACATTGTTTGTCCTTTTTTACTTAAAATGTGACATAACACCTTTACCCACTTATGTCTTCAATTATAATCTATGTATAAATATAATTGGGGTAGAAATTGTACTGTTTAAGGCTGTATAATTTCTACCCCAATTATATATAGATAGAACAATATGCATCTTTAAGACTTAAAAAAGACTAACCTTAATTTTTAAAAAAATGCAGATAGAACACTATAATTCTTAGGAGACGATTTGTATCAATCAGATGGATATATTTCTTGCTTAGATAATGTTATTTCTCACAGTAAAATGTGTTAAAAATCTTTAAATGCTTATTTTTCAGTTTAACAGAAAATGAGTTACTATATATAGTAACTCATTTTCTATAGTCTTTGTTGCATGGGTCCCTATAAAGTTTATATAAGATGTAGGTAGCACCATGATACAATAATGGGTAGCACTAGCATGTGTGAACTATAAAATCTAAAAATGGATAAACTTTTAGTTTAAAGTAAATATTTGTATGTTTATTTAAAAAATGTTATATTTTATGCTTGTCGTTTGCAATATTGTTAGCCTTTGCTACTACTGAGGCAAGAGACAATTATATGAAAAATTCATACATAGGAAAATCTTTTTCATAACAAAAAATACTTACAGGTGTCTTGTAATATCCACCGAGTCCTGTGTGGTTTTACTAAAAGTGTTTTTTGCATGAGGATTGGCAAAAATATTGGAAGATAATTCAGAGTACACATTTTTTATTTGATTTTCAGAATATAAGGCAGCACCAGCATTATCCAAATAAATGTGATCTAAAATTTTAACAATTATTCCAAATTCAAATCAAATACCTAACCTAACTTTTAACAAATAAAATAGATATCTGTTTTATCATTGATGATAAAAAAACTCAAGGTCAGCAGAAACCTGTTGATTATAATGTATAAATGTTTTAAATAAATGATGAGAGAGTTAATGATTGAGGTTACCTTTAGTTCTTAAAAACTCTTTGAATATTTTTTGTTCAGTTTCTGTTTTGTAAACTTTATTGTTACTCAAAAATTGTTCCATATTGCCTCCGGATTTAAATGGTTTTAAATCGACGATTGCGTGCATTTAATTACATGATCATTACTATCTTGTCATAACTACACAATGATAATAATAAACATAACACACAAAATGAGAAGATAAGAGAAACAAATACAAATTACAGTTTTTACTGTGTACAAAGTTTGAACCCTGATTTTTTTTAAATAATCCAACTTTCAACTATTTAAAAAATAAATCTTAGTAAAAAATGTGGCGAGGATTTTGTGAGAATTTTGCTTTTATTGCGAGGATAACTTTGAGCATTTTAAAACCCAATTTCGGGTATTATCGCAGTTAAGGAGAATTTTCGATTGACAGCACTGGTGTTGCGTAGGATGACAAATTACACACATGTCCAAAAGTTTGGAATACTTACAAATAATATATCTACGCCTATGGTAGTTTAAAAAAACTGTTGTTAATATTTACTCTATTTTCTCTGTCTTTGAGGTTTATTTATTATTGGTCGAAGTCGTTATAAAATGGTATTTACCTACTTATATAAGTATACCTATATAAAAAATATATATAAATTTAAATATCAATAAAAAAAGAAATATTGCAATATTCCAAACTTTTGGACATATGTACGATGGTTCTTAAGGACCATCACTATGTTTTTTTTTAGAAAAATCAGGCAGTGCATGTTTTTAAGTTGCACTGCCAGATTTTAAGTCGCACTGCCAGATTTTAAGTCGCATTGCCAGATTTTAAGTCGCTCTGCCAGATTTTAAGTCGCACTGCGAGATTTTAAGTCGCACTGCCGGATTTTAAGTTGCCTTGCCAGATTTTAAGTCGCACTGCCAGATATAAAGTCACATGTCACATGAAACTACTGCAGAAGGTATACCTTTATAAAGTTTGTTTAACTAACAAACTTTGTTAGTCGTGTGTGTTCTAAATGTTACGGTGGTGGGGAATTTGTAGTTTTATTTTATTGTTTAACAATTTTCAGAAAATTTGGATAATGGTGTACATTTAACCGATATTTTAGTATTTGCTACTGGGGCAGATGCTATCCCACTGAACATTAAGGATGTGGTGATGTCACAGTGACGTTTAAAAATTGTCAATTTTAAGGCACATTAACTACGTTTTTTAGTGATGTTCAATTTACGTAAAAATTACGCTAAAAAATAAACGGTACTGTCGAGCACGTCACTATACCGTCCACTCTATGCCTTTTATTTTACTTTAGCGTATTAGGTGCAAAACACAACGTACATTTTACGTCACCAATGTAACACATGATAAATATGAATGGGGTAGGTTTGCCAATGATGAACATTAAAATATATATGCCACATTTACATTTTTGTTGGAAATTTGAGTGTATACTTAGATAATTAAATACCGAATTTAATTCATAATTTTATATTAACTTACTTAGAAACCAATGTAAGTAGGTAGATACAATTATTATTTTAATGACTTATTATAAATCCCAGAGTGATTTATTAATTAATATTACCGAATAATAATTATTCTATTATTATCGCATCGATTAAGAAACGTATATTTTAAGTAAAATTTACGTAAAAAAGGACTCGGATAATTTCGTTTCCAGTCGATATATCGGTATAAAAGGGGCCCTGTAACAGGGCATACTCTGTTTGCGTTGCGACTGCCATTCAGAGTTGCGAGATTTGTACTTAAAAAGTATTGCCATTAGAATATTTAAGTTACTTAAGAATGGAGAAAATAAAAATTATCAATACATTGTATTTTTTACTCTAAATTGATTTAAAGTAAAAATACAAAAATAATTTGTACTTAAAAAGTATTGCCATTAGAATATTTAAGTACTTGAGAATGGAGAAAATAAAAATTATCAATACATTGTATTTTTTACTCTAAATTGATTTAAAGTAAAAATACAAAAATAATTGTACTTATTAATTTGAATAAATAATATTTTTTCGTACTTCGTAATGCAAAAAGTTTAAAGTCAAAGTAAAAAATTGATTGTACTTAAAATATAAATGAAAATACAAGTACGAAGTATTTTTTAACGGGACCGACTGAAAATAAAAAACAAAATCTAATTAATAATTATAAATACTATACTATAAAAAATTAGTGTAATTTTTCAATATATAAATTAAAATTGAGTTAGCTAAGGAAATTTAGTGTCTTCCACAATCCACACAACATTGTGTGGATTGTGGTGTCTTCCACCAAACGGACAGTTGAGTTTGGGTTTTGTTTGTGTTTTTAAAAACTTGCAAATCAAAAACAAAACTGAAACAAACCCGAAACTCTTGTTTCCATCAAGCAAACTAAGTTTTGTTCGAGTTTTGTTTTTGTTTTCGGTCCTTTTCCACTAGTTGTCGTGATTATGTCAGAACACACTTTTTCAGTATCAACCAACATGTTTAGAGAAAAAGATTTTCTTATTCTTAGTTGTGGCTGGTTTATACTGCCGTGTTTTATATACTATTTTTTTTTCAAGCTCTAAATTTCGATATTTTTTTAAAATTTTGTAACCTCATTTTTAGGTTAGGTTTAACTGTCAGACGACAAAATCTCACCATTATTGTTCGGTGGTCAATAATAATTTGACTTTTGAACTAGTACAGTAATGTAGTGACTACTAGTTCAAAAGTCAAATTATTATTGACCGCCGAACAATAATGGTGACATTTTGTCGTCTGACAGTTAAACCTAACTTAAAAATGAGGTTACAAAATTTTAAAAAACTACATTGTAGTATTTCTATATAGTATTACACTACAAGGGCAGAAAGTGTGAGATTCCTGCACTGCGCGCCATGATGCCCGAGGCGAAGCCGAGGTCATCATGGCGCGCAGTTCAGGGCTCTCACACTTTCTGCCCGTGTAGTGTATACTATTTTTCTTACTACCTCGGCTGAAAATACAACCCGGCCGAAAATACGGGAAAAAATTAAATGTGTATATCGAAATTGAAAACAAATTTTGAGGTTATATTAGAGTTGCATATGTTAAGTACTAGTGCACACGACTAAAAAATTTTTACTCCCGCTATTATAGAGGGTGCGCGTATAGCTTGACCAATGCATCAAACGTAAACTTTCTGCCGTGGAATTGATGTTACCGCTTTCCAGCGGGACTCGAAAAACAAAACTCAAACTGTCGCAAAACACGCCAGTCTTCAAAAAGTTTGCAAAAAGTTGCAGTTTTGTTTTATTCGACACGAGTTTGTGTTTTGTTTTTGTATTGTCCGTTTGGTGGAAAACCGGCATAAGATTGCGTCATTGGATGACGTCACTCTGTTAACGGGAGCGCAATAGGGAACCGTCTGACGGGACTCTAGACACGGCGTTAATTTTATCATTATTATGTTAACATAACCTTATAATAATTTTACATATTTTTGTAGTTTGCCTGAAGATGATCTAAACTAGTCGCAATAAAAACATAAACAAGCACGGAAGTATCCTTATTCACCATTCTAATCAAATCAAAAAAAATATAATGTATTCTGTTCTTTATTATTTTTTAATTATAAAATAAAAAAATATTTAGAATCAGTAAACATTTTAAGTTAAAATAAAAAGTACTTGATATTTTCTCTGATTATAATTACAAAATAAAAAAAAAATTGTAATTATCAAATTGGTAAAGTAAAAATAAAAAAATATTTAGAATCAGTAAACATTTTAAGTTAAAATAAAAAGTACTTGATATTTTCTCTGATTATAATTACAAAATAAAAAAAGAATTGTAATTATCAAATTGGTAAAGGAAAAATAAAAAGTACTCAATATTTTTCTCTCATTACAATTATAAAATCAAGTAATAATTAGTAATGATAGCATAATCCATTAAAAAAAATACTCAGTACTCCCAACTCTGCTGCCATTCTTCTGTGTTCAACACAGTGTGTTGCCATTTGTTGCTGTGTGATAGAAAACGCATTCTTTTCCATAGGCGAGACTGAACGGTTTAGGTAAGTTGGCTTTATCATTTGTTTGCAACCATACGGTTATAATATACTTAATTAATTGTCCCAATATCGCCATGATGGCGCTATTAGTGGTTATCGAATTTTGTTGATTTAAATGTTAGCGTTGAGTGAGAAGTAATATTAATCAATGCTGTTAAACTTAAAGAAAAGTCTTTTAATCAATTTGATTTTTCAGTTAATACACCAGTGAACATGGGAGACAAATTTTGCGCCAAGCGACAGGCAAGTTATACCTATAAGTTTTATATACCTAATTACTTAGATAATAATGTTTGTTTTAGAAGCCAGTATGAAGTGATTTCGATAAAGAGAGGAAGGAATTGTTCCAAACCTCCAAGCTACGCACATAACGTTTTTTGGCCAAATTTGGACATGAGAATGAGGCCGAAAATTAATTAGGGGGTAGGTACTCATATAATGTTTTATTTTTATAATTTATTTTAATAAAAAAAATATATTTCCAAAGTGGTAGTTTTATTTAAAAAAACGTAACTAATACGTACAAAACCTATACGTCCATATTAAAATGACATTTTTACGTCCTTTTAAAAACGTAATTTTTACGTCTCCTTATCCACGTAACGGTTATGGCTAATTCGAGGCCCAGGATCCGGACATAGGCACATCACAGCGACGTTTATGTGACGTTTATTTTACAAGATTCTTATACGTCACACTACAACCTTTGACGTTAATTTTACATATATTTTACGTTTTTTTGCTCAGTGGGATACCGCCATTAGCTAATGGCGGTATAGCATCTGCCCCAGTAGCAAATACTAAAATATCGGTTAAATGTACACCATTATCCAAATTTTCTGAAAATTGTTAAACAATAAAATAAAACTACAAATTCCCCACCACCGTAACATTTAGAACACACGTGTACACGACTAACAAAGTTTGTTAGTTATACAAACTTTATAAAGGTATACCTTCTGCAGTAGGTTGTTTGTTAGTTAAACAAACTTTATAAAGGTATACCTTCTGCAGTAGGTTTTCCATTTGACGCCCGATTAACATTTCTTCAAGGTGATAGTAGATATCCAACAGCTAATACATGTGTCACTGAATTAAGGATTGCATTCCTAAATTCAAAAACATTTGGGTTTGCATAAAGATTTGCCTATTTTAGGAAGGAGAATTATTTTTTATTTTAAAACCAAATGTATACATTT